ATTTTTTTTGTTTGTTAATTTTATTGGTAATGTTTGTAATCTCATGTGTCTTTTTGTTGCAGATTCCGTATGTACAACTCAGGGAAAACAATTGGACATTTAATGTTGATATTAATGGAAGATGGAATGTGAGATACCACCTATGAGATGGACAATTCATTATGTTGTTGTTTTCTAACAAGTCAAAATCAAAGAAAAAAAAAAGAACTAATGTGTAGGTTTGTAGAATTAGCCCAAAACTCCTAAATTAAGATTTTTGAAACATGCTTGTTATTATTCACAATTAGTCATCTTGTTAATGCCGAATAGTGTATTTTTGTCTCATGTTAATCCATTGGGCAAAAAAAATATTATACTCATATTTCCCCAATTTTAAAACTTTTTCAGGTTTTTAAACAACCATATACTCTCTACTAATGTGCTTTCTGTTTTGTGCCTAAAATATAAAATGTAAACTAAAGGAGTATCCTACATTGAATTTTTTGAAGCTTAGGCATAGAGGAGGAATATCAATAGGGGAAAGTGAATTTACATGATCTTAGAGATATTGAGATTTTTTGTTTATCAAAACACCTTATTTTCGAACCCTTGTAACATTTGGCGTGTTTGACTGCTATTGAGATGAATGTTAATGGATAAAATTCCAACTTTTTCCAAAATATAATCAAAGGTCAAAAGATTTTCTTGTCATTAGCTTTTGAAAAGAAAAATAAAAAGAGATATAAATGATTATTCTTGAGTCTCGACTACTGTTTCTGTTATAGTAAAATTTGAATGTTAAGTTCCAACTTCTACTACATGTAACATCTTATTTATTAGAGTAAATTACCTGAATGGTGCCTATGGATTGGAATAATTGGCATGTTTGGTCCCTAACTAATTTTTTTAACTCAGAAGGTCTTACTGTTTGTTTTTGTTACGTGTTTGGTCCATACTCTTTGTTTTTGTTATGCGTTTGGTCCATGTCTTACATAAAAATACTATTATTTAAATAGAAAAAATGGTGGGGTAGGTAAGGTAAGGCGAAGGGGGTGTGTTTATTTAAATAAATTAAAAAATCAAGGGCAAAGTAGTCTTTTTAGGTAAGACAGAATCCAAACGCGTAACAAAAACAAACAGGGACCTTCCCAGTTAAAAAAATAGTTAGATACCAAACACACAAATTACCCTGAACCATAGGGACCATTCTTGTAATTTACTCTATTTATTAAATTTTGTTTCTTTCATTTCCATGTTCTGATGTTCTTCTCGAAACGTTTCAAAAGAAGTCTATTAAAATCTTCAAGAACTCGATTTTTTGTTAAATGTCACTTAAAGAAGTAAAGAACTTATTAAGATGTTATTAAATTGCAAAATTCAATGACACCACCTTAATGAATAAAGAGAAAACTGCCCAAATTAATTTTACCTTTATTTGGTCAAACCTTCGTCAATATAAAATTGTATTTGACCCTCCATCTCATGCAGAAAAAAAACATGGCTTCTTCAAGATTTGTTCTTTTCCTACTACTATCACTTGCTTCATTTTCATATTCACATCAAATCGAAGAAACCTTTTTGCAATGTCTTTCCGACATCCTAGTCCCTAACACTTTCCTCACCCCTGACTACGCCGACTTCACCCCACTTCTCACCTCCAGAGCCATAAATCTTCGCTTCACAACCCCATCAACTCCCAAACCCGAAGCTATTTTCACTCCGTTGAATGAAACCCAGATCCAAACCGCAGTTATTTGTGCCAGAAAGCTCGGGATTCAAGTTCGGGTAAGAAGTGGAGGGCATGATTACGAAGGGTTGTCCTACACATCAGTTATGAATTCTAGTTTTGTCGTAATTGACTTGTCAAAGATGCGTGGTATTAACGTCGATACCACTGAAAATTCTGTTTGGGTGGAAGCCGGAGCCACCATTGGCGAGCTTAACTATCGAGTGGCGGAGAAAAGCAAAACCCTAGGATTTCCAGCTGGGATTTGCACGAGTTTGGGTGTCGGTGGACATATCACCGGAGGTGGGTATGGAACGATGATGAGGAAATATGGGCTTGCAGCGGATAATGTGTTAGATGCAAGAATCATAAACGCAAATGGGGATATTCTTGATCGGAAATTGATGGGGGAGGATGTTTATTGGGCTATACGTGGTGGTGGCGGGGGTAGTTTTGGAATCATTGTTTCGTGGAAACTCGAACTCGTCAATGTCCCTGAAACTGTGACTGTGTTCGCTGTTACCAAAACATTAGAACAAGACGCCACCAAGATTCTTTACAAATGGCAAGAAGTGGGTTCGGTTTTTAACGAAGATCTCTTTATCAAAGTCACTTTGGCTGGATCGAATGTATCGGGTACAACTAATAAAACAGTAAGTACAACTTACCAAGCATTATTTCTTGGTGGAATAGATAGACTCATGCAGATCATGAACGTGAGTTTTCCCGAGCTGGGTCTACAGAAAGAGGATTGTATTGAAATGAGTTGGATAGAGTCTGTAATGTTCTTCGCTGGGTACCCAAGAAACGTGCCACCTTCTGTCCTCCTTGAAGGAAAACCATCTTTCTTGAACTATTTTAAAGCAAAATCAGATTTTGTGAGACAAGTAATTCCGGAATCAGGGTTAGATGATATCTGGAAGATAATGATGGAAGAAGGAAGTCCATTGATGATATGGAATCCATATGGAGGAATGATGAACTCGATTTTAGAGTCATCGACCCCGTTTCCTCACAGAAAAGGGGTACTTTTCAAGATTCAGTATGTAGCATCATGGATGGATCCTGTAATGGAGGAGAAGCATGTTGGTGTGCTTCGGAAGCTCTATGAATGCATGACCCAATATGTTTCGAATTCTCCAAGAGAAGCCTATGCAAACTTCAGAGATCTCGATCTTGGAAGGAATGATAAACATGAATTCATTTACGATATAGATGATAAGAGACTTTCTTGGGGAAAGATGTACTTCAAAGATAACTTCGAGAGGCTGGTGGCAATCAAGGCCGATTTCGACCCTGATTACTTCTTCATCCATGAACAGAGCATTCCGAGATTGTCGAGAGGGACTTAGCTAGTAGAATCAATAATGAATAATGCATTAATTTTGTTTTTGTATGTGGCTACTGGCTACGCCTTAATTATCTCACAAATGTGGATTTGCATCACTAATGAAAACCAAAATGTGGTTAAGTATTAATTATTATGCCTCCATCATGCCTCCATAGTTCATCAAATTCATGGGTAACTTACATAGTTGTATGAAACTTGAAGTTATTATATTTTGTAGTTTGAACATATATGCACGCATATAAGGGCATTACATCTCTAACATTATACTTCTATACAACATTGTGCCTCTACTGTAGATAAAGATTGTTAACTGCAGTTCCTTTTTACATGCGGGATAGACTTATAGAGCTTGCTTCCATAGAAGGTATAGGTATTTCTGGACTTCTCATTGGTATGCTTTTCAACCTATTTTTTTAATCGTTAAGCTAATATATCTTATTACGATGACCTTGATTGTTCATCATTGATTTATATTTAATTTTGCAACCTAAAATCTACATTAAAGGATATGCTTAAAAGCAAGAAATGGAAATATAACTTGTATTGATGCTTTGATGACAAATAACCAACAAACTTTAAACCTATTATTGATCACTTCAGGAAGATGAGTCTTTATGTTTATTTTTTATAAGATTACCAAATTAAACAACATTAAATTTTCTTTGTGGTAGGTCTCATCAGATGAAGAGAAAAGGTCCATAATATGATAGTTTTAGGGAGGCATGATTAAGATGGGAATGTGGTGGATCAGGTACTGGTTTCAGGAGATTAGATTCTATTACATCATAACCACATTATCAGTGTAATCATCTTCCTACAAGGTTACTATTTCTGCTATTTAGCGAGAAATACCATTTTCAAGTAGTTACAATAATTTTTACACTTTAATCCGTTACATTCACTTATTTCCTTAACATCATCTTGTAGTCATTCTATTAAACCAAAAAAAAAACGTGCTTGTAGTTTTGATTCAACCTTTTTGTCATCATCATTATTGGAAACAAACTTGCATTTCAGTCACCCTTGTACCTCTTTGTGGATCTATTCAAGATTGCAAAACCGTTTTAAATGGTGAAGGTGAAGGTTACTTTTGTCCAAAATTATATATTCAAACTTTGGAAATCAAACAAGGCATCAAAGTTTGGGTCGGATTCTTGAATTCCCATTTGGTCACAAAGGCAAACTAAACATGACATTATTGTTTGTTTCCTTGGCTTTTTCTTTTTTACGACTGTCTTGTACCATGTCTTTCTTAAATTTGTGTTCTTCCTATGTTCTCTTTTTGGATAGTATGGTTGGATGCTATTATCCATCATCTAATGTTCGGTATTAATAAGTTCAACCATTTGTGTGTATATCCTACAGGAAGAAGCTGAGCTTATCTCATCCATTATCACATTTTTCAACCGAAGTGGGATAAATGCAAAAGATGTTAGCTTCAAGATATAAAGTAGAAGTGTCTTATCTTTTTGTTCATAGTACTTGAAAACTTATGTCCCTCCATTGCTTGTACATGCTAGAAACTAAAGTCCCATGTTTTTGGCACTAAATTGGAAAATGATTTTAATTTTTCGTTGACTGTGGACACGATATTTTCGTGAAATTATCACTTGAGAGCTAATACCTGGTGACGAGCAGGTGACCTGTACTATCCGGTCACCACTAACCTATTCCCTAACCATCACCTTTCACGAACCGTCACTGATAAAGGGTTTCATGCATTCGAGAAGGGTTTGACGCTGAGAAGGGTTTCACGGTCCCCAAATTTGTATTTTGAAGCTCCAAAATCGTTGGTGAAGTAAGGTGAAGTAGAAAGGTACGTGTATGGAAACAAGAAATTGATGCTTCTGAGGGTGGTTATCTTCGCTTATGGAGTTCGAAGTTTGACCTAACAAGGTTTTTTTTTTTTTTTTTTTTTTTTTTTTTTTTGTTTTGATGAAACAGATGGCTTCTACTTCTGGAACTAAGAAGCCTAAAAGGCCTAAGGTCCCTGAGAAGACATTCCTTCAAGACTCTGACTTCGATGATGAAGCATTTGACTTTGGCTTTTTGGATTTTTCTAAAGAAACTTTCAAATCCCCCTCAAAACTATGTGATGATCTTTTTCTTAACTTATTGTGTGACGAAAATATATTAAGGAGGAGTATTGATGGAATGGTAGCTAATGAAGACAATCCTGGTGGCCAACAACATGAACATGTCCACTTAGATGAGGACGATGAAAATGTTGGCATCGAGTATACGGTGCATGATCCCAATGTTGACTGGAAAGAGATGAGGCCCCAATTAGGAGACTGTTATGAATCCCCTGCTCAACTCAGGTTTGCTTTAACAAACTATGCAATCCATGGAGGATACCAGCTTGATTTTGAAAAAAGTGATAGAGTGATGGTTATAGCTAAGTGTGGTAGTGGAAAAAGTGACAATAAAAAAAATGTAGTGTCTCCGTTTAGGGTTGCAACTGGATTGGAAGTACAATGAAATGACATTCTAGATTAAATTATGTAATGAAATTCATCCGTGTGCTAAGAATTATCACTTTGGTTCCCTAGTGACAAGCAATTGGTTAGCTAAACACTACCTGAAAGATGTAATCATAAAGCCCAAGATGACATTACTAGAGATGCAAGCGGATGTGCTACAAAGGTTTTCAGTGAGTGTATCTGTAAAAATACATATTCTATTAAAATACATATATCCTTCTATAAAAATACATATGCTATGAAAATAACTGAGAATTTGTGAATTTTTTTTAATCAATTATGATTCTTATTTTGTGTTTCAAATTAATTACAACATGAAAAAATGACATTTTCATAATAATGACCGGTAAAATTTCACAAAACACATAGCATGTATGAGAATATGAGCATTACATAATTTGATTCTTCTTAAATTAAATTTATTTAAACAATGTTACATATCTCGATTTATTCTTTAAGAATATTTAACATTTTTGAAACAAATTAATAGAGATTCTATAAGAATGGAAGAAGTATAAGATATTCTTGAAGAATGACAACATTCTTGCATCATCATTTGAAGAATAAAAGAATATGATTATAAACAATGCTTTCTTTTTTGTAGATCCACAACCATTATTTATCTCTATTCCACACTCAATGTAAAACAATTCATTCTTGCAATAAATCTTGTTGGAATCTGAAACTTAACATCAATACATCACTAAAAAATCCTACAAAAAGTAATGATGGACCGGGTAAATTTTTAATGAAAACGTACTAAAAGCACAAGTCTTAAATAATGATTTGGAGCATTGTATTCAGTGAATATTCTGGCAGAATGGTTCTATAAATATTTTGTCAGATTGATTTTGTAAGTATTTTGTCACGATGATTTTGTAAATATCCTGATAGAATAGTTTTAAATACATGTAATAATCAGTAGTAATTGGTAAGATCGTCAAAAGTAATACATATATAAAATAAAAAACCATTGAGTTGTTAGAAACTTGAAAATCCCATGTTAAACATATCCAATCACTTTTAGAAACTTGAAAATATCACACATGCTTTCTTAAAATTTGAAAATCAAACATGATATAACTAGCAACTTTTCTGTCAGATAAGCATGAAACTTATATCAATTTTATCGTTGAAAAATAAAAGGTTTTAACATCAAAAGCCAAATGCTCATGGAATTAAATAAGTTGCAGTCAATTCGAAATCAGATTTCATTTAGGCATATAATCGAACACTTCATGTTCATGTAAAAATACAGATAGATGAAATTAATAAACTATTTGTTGATCACATAGAATTACAATGTAACTGGTACCGAATATAGACAAACAAAGCTAAATAAAAAATCCAATATGATGGATTATTTAAGATCTTATATCAGTTCTTACAATTATTGATAAACTTCTCTAACAACAAAACAAGGTAAAGCCAATCAGGTTTTGGTTACACGTTAGAAACAATCAGAGTTCAACTTCACACAACTATGGAAAGACATTAACTGATATATAATCGGACAACCAAACAATGAAGATTGATGTAATACGTACCAGATAAGAGAGGCAATGGTATGTGACTGGACAAGTGTATTTGAAATCGATCAAAAACAACAAAGAAGGTAAATATATAATCGATTCAGTCCAAATTTATACATGCGGTGATTTTGGAAAAAGTTGGTTGACAATTTCTTTCTGATTTGGAAGGAAACTGATAGTTCAATTTTCTATTAATCGTGATAATCAACAAGGGCAAAATCGGTAATGAATAGAATGAAAAAAAAACAGGGGTACCCCCTTTTAGGTAAAAATTGAGGTAGGGTTCATATGTGAGGAGCGGAGATGGTGATTACCTACAAAGTTTTGATTCATCAAAATCATGTGGTTTGTAAACTGCAAAAAAGTCCTTACATATTGGCTTCATAATCGATTTAGTCATTATATCTTTTTTTTTATTGAATTAAGTCCCAAAAACTGGTAATCGTATTTAATTTAACCATTTTACCCGGCCAACAAGTCATCCAACTTTCAAAAAATTACACTTTTGGCCCAGATTTTCAATTTTTTTTACAAATTTTGTAACGCTCTGTTCCGAATTGACTTCTAGTCTGTGGCTGTGGGCTGAACTTTGGTCATCATAAGGAGTATGGCTCTAGAGAAGGTAAGATCTAGGCCCATTTGGGTGCGGGTGATGTATTAGGAGTGATTCAGGTGTTCGGTTTGTGTTTTGGAGCTTAGGGGTATTTCGGTAAAGTGTCAGTTCGGGCTTTTGTGGAAAATGGATTTTTGTAAGGAAGCTCTAAAGGAATATATGAGTTGATAGATGTGTAGAGCTTCTCGTCACCTTTCCGTGGATATAAGGATCGTCGAAATCGGGCTTGTAACGAAGAAGTTATGGCCTTCGGAAGTTTCGTGGTTTTCAGGCTTAGCCGAGTACACGAGGCGTACACAAAGTGTACGCGGGGCGTACTAGTAAAGAAGGTAGTACGCTGGGCGTACTGACCAGGATGGTCGCAAAGGTTCCCAGGAGTATGCTGGGCGTACCATATGTATGCTGGGCGTACTCCAGTCAGATCAGAACCCTATTTTAGGGTCTTGGACCCTATTTAAGTTCCTTATCTCATAACCTAACTCTAATATATTTAGCCTCCATCCCTCTAAACCCTAGAAATCGACCCTTAGCCTCCATTTGAGTGATTCTTGAGCTTTTGGTGATTTAGTGGGTTTTTGGTGCTAATTGTGGAAGAAGGAGTTCCTTGAGGAAGCATTGCTTGGCTTGAAGCTTGTGGATCCAAGCCCTAATCATATTGATCTAACTCCAGAAAGTATAAAGTTTGGATCTTGGTGGCTTTCTCATGTGGATCTAGTTGGGTTATGACTTGTTATGTTTGGACCTTGAAGAAGAAGGAACTTGGTGATCAAGCTATGGTTGGAGTCAAGCTTCTAGATCCAGAACCTTCATCAACTTTGCAAGCTTTTGGAGGTATAAAGTATCAACCTTGTCAAATCTTTCATGTAGATCTACCATTGTGAGTTTTAGTTCATTTTGGTCCCAAGGATGGAACTTTATGGTTGAAATCCGATTCTTAGGCTTTGAGTTGCCACTCTCAGTGTTAAATGAGTCCCTAAGGCAGAAAGTTGCCATCTTGGAAGTCTTAATGGGCTCATGCATGATTTAAGACCATTTCCTTGGAAGTAGATTATCATTTTTGGAGTTTGAGCTTATGTGGGCCATGCAAAGCCGTCAAGTAAGCAACTTTATGGTTTAAGACGTTGAAAAGGACTTGGATCTGTGTTTGTAGCTTCTGGAGTAGAGTATTAAGCACTTAATGGGAAAATTACTTAACAGGGGGATTACGCTGAGCGTACGTGCAGGTACGCCCAGCGCAAGCATCATTTGGCCTGTACGCTTAGCATACATAGGAGTACGCCCAGCGTACTCATCAGTTATGGGCTTATTGTGTTTTGGGCCTCGGTTTGGGCCATGCAGTGGACTTTGGGCCTTTGGGCCTTAGTGTACCATCAGAAGTCAGATGTATTGGGCCAATGATATGTTTGGGCTTAGGGTAAGGCCCATTAGAGGGATTGGGTCCAATTGAGCAAATTGGGCCATTAGTGGGCCACTAGTGGGCTTGGAAAGCCTACCTAGTGTTGGGCTTTAGTATAAGGTCCATTAGAAAGATTCGGGCCTAATTTGGAAAATTGGGCCATTGATGGTTTTATGGACATTATAATGATGGGCTTTTGTTTTGGGTTTGGGCCTTAGTTTTGGATCATATTGGGGCAGGGGTAATGTAACATCCCAATTTCCAAGCCCAAATTTTTTTTTTTAAATTAAGTAAGTCTCAACATAGTTTACCAAAACATTTCCCATGCCATATCATTTGCAAACAAAACTATAACAATGTGTCTGAAATCATAATGTCAAAGTAAAATCAATCAGAGTACAATCCCAGAAAACTCCACGCGGAAATCATGTGTGTGTGTGATGCGCTGCTACACTGCCGACTCCTTCCCCTTAGACGAAGAGGTACCTGAAACCAAAACTAAAACTGTAAGCACAAAGCTTAGTGAGTTCCCCCATCATACCACATACCATACAGACATATCGCATTCATACTGCCAGGCAATTCTGGGGTGCCCGACCTACCCAGTACGGCCATTCTGGGGTGCCGACCTACCCGTGTCAAGCCATTCTGGGGTGCTGACCTACCCATGTCAAGCCATTCTGGGGTGCTGACCTACCCTTCGGTCCTATCAACCGAACCTCGGGGACTATTCCACCCCCTACTGCTACTATCACATATATCATAACGTAAGCATACTGTCAGACGTTTCTGGGGTGTCCGACCTACCCTTCGGTCCTAACAACCGAACTTGGGGACTATTCCCTCCCTACTACCACTATCACATATAACATATCATGTCAGCATATAATCATATCATCACATACTGTCAGACATATCTGGGGTGTCTGACCTACCCTCCGGTCCTAACAACCGGACTCTACTACTGTCACATATACATATCATGCTAGCATATAACATATCAGGTAGTAACAAACCTAGATGATATCACAAAGACGATCATCTAACATACAATTCCTACTGGTGGGCCGGCATTGTGGCCGTAGACCCACAACTACTGGAAGGTAACTCACCTCGAACGAGTAGCTGCTGATAATCTGTGCGGGAAATCTCTGTCTGCTGCTGCTCCGGAAATCCTCCGGCTATAATCCCCACAAAACACTTAATCAAAGTCTGATATCTATTCTTAGGGTAAAATGACCATTTTACCCCTGACCAAGTCCAAGTCAAAGTCAAAGTCAACTTCCAGTTGACCCGAGTCGCCGAGTTGGGCCGCCAACTCGTCGAGTCCCTATCTCTTCCACTGTCCTCATCCATGTCTCTACTCGTCGAGTTGGGCCGCCAACTCGTCGAGTCCCTATCTCTTCAACTGTCCTCATCCACGACTCTACTCGTCGAGTTTAGCAACGACTCGACGG